TGGTTAAATAGGCGTAGTTGTCCAAGGAGGCAGGGGCTCCTCGTCGTGAAGCATTGCCGGCAGTGATGCCAAGGGTGCTGGAGAAGAGCTTTCTGAACCTGTTCGGCTCTCATCTCACCAAACCTCATCCCTCCCCAAAAATCACTTTGCGCCTCCAGGGACATGATCGGCGGCATGCGCATGGACCTGGAGAAGTCGCGGTACGAGACCTACGACGAGCTGTACGACTACTGCTACCGTGTGGCAGGAACGGTGGGCCTCATGTCCGCGCCCGTCATGGGCATCGACACGCAGTACAAGGGACCCCTGGACCCAGTGTACCGCGCCGCGCTGAGCCTGGGCACCGCCAACCAGCTCACCAACATCCTCAGGTAGAGAAAGGAAGGGGGGTGGTTTGGATGGTGGGGACCCATCAGGGGTGTTGTGACGGGGTTTTCGTCTTTGGATTTTGCGAGGCAGAGCCAGGGACGGCACGGTACGGGAACTGAGACAGCATGGCCCTCAGCCAGGCACCTGCCAATCGACGCGCCGCGCATGGGAGTCACCGTGGAATCTGCCTCCCCCTCATCTGCTGCCGCATCCCTACGGGGACCCCAAAGCTCATGTCAAACCCTCAAGGCCCTTTCCACCAACTCCGCACAGGGACGTGGGCGAGGACGCACAGCAGCGCAGCCGGGTGTACCTGCCACTGGACGAGCTGGCACGCTTCGGCATCAGCCCCGGGGAGGTGCTGGAGGGCACGCTGGCGCGCGCGCCCGGCCAGGTGGACCCGCGCTGGGCGGCCTTCATGCGCTTCCAGATCGAGCGCACGCGCGCCGTCTTCTCCGAGGCGGAGGGCGGCATCCGCCAGCTGTCGCGCGACGCGCGCTGGCCGGTGTGGAGCGCGCTCATCCTGTACCGCCAGATCCTGGACGCCATCGAGGCCAATGGGTATGACAACTTCACGCGCCGCGCCTACGTGCCCAAGTGGCGCAAGCTGGCCACCCTGCCCTCGGCCCTGGTCCTGGCCCAGGCGCCCTGGGTGGCGCAGGGGGGCCGGGGGGAAGACGCGCCTGGGCGGCAGCCGGCGGCGGCGGGGTCTGGCGGCGACGCGCCCGCCCTCGGGGGCGGCGAGCAGCCCCAGCGCTGATCGCGCGCAGGCGCGCCGCCTGCGTGGCGAGGACGACGGGGCCGCACGACATGGCCTCCCACTCCCTCTTTAGTTCTCTCAAGCCTTTGCGCGGCGGTCACCCCTCCTGCCCCTGACGGCGTCGAGGCCCGGGGGGGTACGCCAGGCCCAACCTTGCACCAGATTCCCTTGTATTCTTTCGTTGGCAGCTCCCCATCTGCTCCACCACACCTGCTCGCCCAGAGTTGCTGCCCTGCCCCTCATTGCATGCAGGGCCCCTGATCAGCGGGACACAGTCCTGACTGTTTTTGTAATACTCAGTAGGCAGGCTTGCTGGGATCCTTGGAAGGGGTTACACCCTGCCTCGCGAGGGTACCTTACGAGGTGGTGTGCTTCATGAGCACGTGACGACCAGACTGGACGAGTCGAGCGAACAAGGGGCCTGGCCTGGGCCGGGGGCTGCCCTGGCCTCCCAGCTCCTGGCGCGGAGGACCCTGACATACGTGGACCCGAGTGGCGATCACGTTTCGCAGGCAATGGGGAGCAGGAGGTCCTGCTCTAGCGCGCCGGTGCATCCACCCGGGTGCCCTAGTCGACCCCGGGATGTGGCTAAGTGTGTTCATGCGTTCCGGAGGGTGCATACATCGCCCATCCGGCCCTGGGAAGCCATTGAACCACGCATACGCCCCTGATCTTGTCCTAAAATCGGCATCGAAGCCTGATGTCGCAGCTCCTCTGCAGCAAGGCGGCAGTCTTCCCGGCCTTCGTGGCCGGGCGACCCCACCGTGCCCAGCGTCGGTCGGCGCTTGCCGTGCGGGCAGGCAAGTACGACGATGAGCTCATGCAGACGGCGGTGAGCTCTTAGCAAAGCATGGGCTTGGGCAGGCAGGATTATGGGCGCTCCCTGCGAGATATCGATGTGGATAACAGGGTTTCGCGCTGCTGCCATCGCGGCGGACTCGGGGACCCCCACACCATCATTGGGCCCAGCATGGGGGCCCCGGGCGCCACGCATGCCCGCATGCTTCGCCACCGAGCTCCTCGGAGCTCCGACTGCGCCCCGGTGTGAGGATTTGGAGGTGGCCACGTGTACCCCTGTTTCTCACCCCCACCCCCCTGCCTCTCCTGCAGAAAACCATCGCCTCTCCTGGCAAGGGCATCCTGGCCATGGACGAGTCCAACGCCACCTGCGGCAAGAGGCTGGAGGGCATCGGCCTGGAGAACACGGTGGAGAACAGGCAGACCTACCGCGAGCTCCTGGTGACCACCCCGGGCCTGGGCGAGTACATCTCAGGTGGGTGGTATGGTCCCAGGCAGCGTGTGTGGGGGGGGACGGGACGGGACGGGTGTCAAGATGTGGAGTTGATGAGGTTGAAACGGTTCTGTTTCATGCCGCTGCCCTGGCCTGGGTCTGCTCATGGGGTAGCATTTAACAGGCGAGGAAAGGAGGATCAGGGTTTAGGGGCGTGGATGTGCTCCTGAACCCGCTGCCACCCCACCCCCTCAGGCGCCATCATGTTTGAGGAGACTCTGTTCCAGGACACCCGTAAGGGCACCAAGATGACCGAGGAGTTGAAGAAGCAGGGCATCGTCCCCGGCATCAAGGTCGACAAGGGGTTGCACCCCCTCCCCGGCTCCAACTCCGAGAGCTGGTGAGCAGCTGGGTGGCTGCCGGCTGTTCCATCCTGCCGGTCTGGGTCGGGACCCAGCTCCCCAGAGACCCACTCGATTGCGGCTCACATCCTCCTGTGCCCTCCTCTGCTCCTTCCAAGGCCGCCTCCCATGCGCCCCTCCTCCGACACCCACTCCCACTCCTCAAATACTCAAACCCTGCAGGTGCGCAGGCCTGGACGGCCTGGACGTGCGGTGCGGGGAGTACTACCGCGCAGGCGCGCGCTTCGCCAAGTGGCGTAGCGTGGTGTCCATCCCCTCCGGGCCCACCCCCCTGGCGGTGCGCGACTGCGCCTACGGCCTGGCGCGGTACGCCGCGCTGGCGCAGAGCGCGGGCCTGGTGCCCATTGTGGAGCCCGAGATCCTGCTGGACGGCGAGCACGACATCGACCGCACGCTGGAGGTGGCCAGCGCTGTGTGGGCGGAAACCTTCAAGTACCTGGCGGACAACAACGTGCTGTTCGAGGGAATCCTGCTCAAGCCCTCCATGGTGACCCCGGGCGCCGACTCCGGCAACCCCGCCGCGCCCGAGGTGGTGGCCGACTACACGCTGCGCCTGCTGCGCCGCAGGGTGCCGCCCGCCGTCCCGGGCATCATGTTCCTCTCCGGCGGCCAGTCCGAGCTGGAGGCCACGCTCAACCTGAACGCCATGAACCAGTCGCCCAACCCCTGGCACGTCAGCTTCTCCTACGCGCGCGCGCTGCAGAACTCCGTGCTGCGCACCTGGAAGGGGGAGGAGGCCAACTTCGAGGCCGCGCAGAAGGCGCTGATCAAGCGCGCCGCCGCCAACTCCACCGCGCAGAGGGGTCAGTATGACCCTGCCAACGAGTCCGAGGAGGCGGCCAAGGGCATGTACGAGAAGGGGTACACCTACTGAGGCGGGCGCGCAAAGGCTGGGGGGGAGTGTGTAGCGCCCAGGGGGCCGGTGACGGCCTGACCCCGGGGGGGTGGGGCAGGAGGAGGGGCGTCCGCCCGCGAGCCACCTCGTTCCTTGGGAGTGCTGGCAGCCTGGTAGGCAGGGGCGTGCCGCCCTGCCTACCTGTGCTTCCCCCCTGTTTGTGACCCTTGCCCCCCAGTAGGCAGACGTCCTTCCTGCTGCTCTGCCATGCCTTTGGTCTACCTTTGCCACCCATGCCGAGACGAGACAATCCGAGGATCCAATTCTTTCCAGCTTGCTAATTTTTTGCCTGCCGGCTGGATGTTGTAATGCCCGGCTTGCTCGCCATGTGCGAGAGTCTGGTTTGAAAGGTGCCGTGTTTTCAAGGGCAGCAGGAGCTCATAAACATTCTCACCAGGCCCAGGGCAGTGGAGTGTTGTGCACATTCAAGGTGCTCTCAAGCTCTGACGACCAATGGCGTACGCTTGAGATTGGTGTTACAGGATGTCAGGGAGTTAAGAGGAAGTATGCTCCTCCCGGGTGCTCACACCGCACACTCATCCGGGCGGTGCAGCGACAGTTCTGGCCATTGAGTATCGAGGGGGTTAGCAAGTCAGGTAGCTGTGAAAGACAGTAATCCCTGGCTCTAACCTGGCGGCATGGCGGCATATGTCAGGCTCATCAATGGACGGCTTGAGGGGCAGAAAGACCTAAGCAGGGTGAGGCACAAGGGGGCAAGGTATGGCTAGGGATGGGACACAACTTGCATTTCCACCCCGCCAAAGCAAGGCTTCTCAAGACTCTCACCTGGAGGTTGAGCTGCCACCGCAGGTGGGGATGCTGCTAATGTTCGCGGGGCCAAGCCTGGATGCAGGGAGAGGTGGCAACTTCAGCAAGGAATAGCAATGGGCACTGGTCTCCCTTGGGAATTAATAACAACTGCACAGGCATGCCCACCTCCCTCCCAAGCCCAACCCTGGAAGAAAGAAACATGACTAGATCGGAATCAGCATGAGTAAACTCCCACGCAGCACACCTTGTGGGGGTGGTGCACCAAGAGGCGGCGGCACCTGGGGCGGTGCAAGTCCGGGCTGGGCCAGCTGGGGGGGTGGCAGCACGGGGGGGCCACCTGCAGGATGGAGCAAAAGGAGATAAAAGCACTCTACGCACAGGAAGAAAAAGGAACACCGTCAAGGTGTGGATGCTATGGATGTCGATTCAATCCATGGCTGCCAGCATCTCTATAGAACAAACCTGGCCGGGGTGGCGCTAGGACGGGGGGACCTCCTGGCCTGGGCAAGGACGGAGGCTTGGAGAGGCCAGCAGGCGGCGCCGGTAGTCCCAGCTGCAGGTTAGCGGGGATGTACTCTGACAACACGATCGGGGGAGACCTACAGCGCTGATCGCGGCATGCTCGTGTGGCCTCGAAGAGTCTTCTCAGGCATGCACTGCCAACACACACCCCAAACCTCCTACCATGCGCGCACGAATTTGTGCCTCTAGCTGCCGCTGCTGCATGGTCTCCTCAAACTGAGTAAAGTAAGACTTGACGTTGGCCTTGTGCTTGTATCCGCTGTTGTGCTGCTTGCCCACAACCGGCTGCAAAGGGACATTCGGGGGGGGGCGGTGGAGGGCCCTTGCCCAAGCAAACACAGCGTCACACCGGATATTCTGGATGCCGACCACCACGCACACACCGAGTCGTGGGTGAGGTATGCATCGCAGTAGTCACAGTAATACCGAGGCATGCTCGTGTCTGCAACTTGTGAGAGTCCAGAGGGTGTCTTCGGGTATGATGGCCCGACACTCCAAAGCGCTAGGCGTTTGCAGGAGTCAGGTTTCACTCGCGTTCTTATGCTGATCTGGTAAACGTTTTGTGATGACAAACCTGCTCACGATGGTCTGTCGATAATACAGTCTTAAGCACCTCGAGCCTGGCATCTCAGGAAATTATCCTGGCTTTCTTCAGCAGTCTTTTGACCGGTGCAAAAACCGCTCAAAGTGATCTATGTGGTATACTCCCTCATTGTGATCCAGGCATCTCGATGCGATACGTTTAATCCAGCGCTTAATCTCGAAACCGCTGCAGTATAAGTGAGGAGGAGCGAGAGCATGGCGGACGTGCTGCAGAAACCCCTCATCAAATCATGCGACATGTCACAGGAGATGCAGGATCACGCCGTCTCCTCCTCACAAGCAGTGAGTGATGGAAACTTCCTATCGTGATCAATGCAAATTGCTACCTTGGAATCTGCGGTCCACACCACAGTCAAGATCGCCCAAGCACCCTCCGAGCACACCGACCTGTCTGCGTTCGCAGGCGGTCGAAAAGTTTACGATCGAGAAAGATATGGCGGCCTACATTAAAAAGGATTTCGACAGCAAGTATGGGCCCACCTGGCACTGCATAGTGGGCCGGAATTTCGGTAAGTTTTGTACATAACAGGGCGCCAGCTGTGACGATGTATGGGGACACCTCGGTTCAGGACCTTGGTCATGGGGACGCCTCACAATCCCCCCCCCTTCGGACACTCTTCCGCAGGATCTTATGTAACTCATGAATCCAAGCACTTTATCTACTTCTACCTTGGACCCCAGGCCATCCTCCTGTTCAAGAGCGGCTGACAAGATGCCCGTCACAAGCTTGCCCATCACCATGTTTCGGGTGCCTGCCCACCCCTAGCTCTGTATCCAGTTCCCCTCACTTGTGCATATTTCACCTTGCATAATTCCCAGCTGTGCAGCCGCAAGGAAACCCAGGAGGTAGCGGTGGAGGGTCGAAGTCAGAAGGCCTGCGGCCGTTACAGCTAGCGACACAAAGCATCTCCGCTCCTCGCCGATAGCTCAGACGTTGTGCCACCCCGCCTACGCCGTAAACACGATGACAGGCTCGCCCGGAAGAGCGGCACGGACGCGCTCGTCGCCCGCAGTGGCCAGCTCGTCGAAGGCCAGCTTGTGGATGGTGATGGACTGCAGGCCCTTGAGCTCTTGCAGGGCCCTGTGCGGAAGAGGGAAGGCAGGAGTAAGGGTTTTGGCACGACTACGGCAGCAGGCAGCGGCAGCGCTAGCCGGCGCCGAGGGTGCCGCAAGATTGGTCGCTTTCTCGAAGACGTGCTGGGCGAGCAGTGCTTTGGCCTTCAGCGTGGCGTAGGCCTGACGCCGCACAGCCAGTCCCGTCTCCCCCCTTTCATCCCCGCTGCCCAACCCCCATCTCACATACACACGCAAGCACACCCAGATCAAGCGCAGCCCGCGCCGCACCTGAGGATGTAGCCGGTGCTGGCCTCCAGGACCTGCGCCTCGTCAAAGGGCAGCTTGACGGACAGGACCTCCTTGCCCCCCTCCTTGGCCTGCTTCGTCTTGTACGCCACAAAGGGGAAGACCGTGGGGCGCAGCTGCTTGGGCGGCAGGGCCGTCAGCTCGGGCTCACCGGCCACCGCGCTCAGCACCGTCTCGTTGGGCTTGGCGGGGAAGCAGTCAGGGAGGGAGGCGTCGTACAGGCCCGCCAGCACCTGCAGGGCCCTGGCCTTCCAGCCGCCAAAGCGGTCGACCACGTGGATGTGGGCGTGGGCGACGGGGCTGGCGGGCACCGCCGGCTGCCCCTTCTTCCCAGCGCTGCCCCCGGCGGCCTTCTCGAACCCGTCCTTGATGGGTTTCTTCATCTTCTCCACGTACCTGCAGGGGTGGGTGGGTGGGTGGTAGATCAGGTGGAGCACTTGACAGTGTCCAGGTGGCGCCACAGCACGGTGGGAGGTGGGCGCCGGATGGGCCGCAGGGCAGTGCCACAACAGCGTCCCTCCCATCCCCCCCGCAGGCGGCGGGAGGATAGGCACTACCCCTCACCGGTACGCCTCCTGCAGCACAAAGTCAGGCTGGGGCGCCGCCGGCCAGCCGGCGGTCAGGATCAGCCCCTCGCGCTTCAGCACATCGCCCCAGATGTACTCGCTGGTGTGGGGTGCGATGGGCGCGACCAACAGCGCGGCCACCTCCACGAAGCGCAGGATCAGCTCGCGGTTGAGGCCCTCCACGGCGCAGGCCACCAGGTACGCATCCCTGGCATTGGACAGGGCATACCTGGGGGGAAGAAGGAGGGGGGGGGGGAGGTGGGAACCGGGTTCCAAACGAGAACGCAAGAGCAAGGAAGCTTGCAGGCACACCTTGCACTGGGGTGTCCAGGGGCTTGCAGCACAACTGGGCCATGGTGAAAAGTAACCCGCCCCGCCTCCAACCACCCGCTGACAGCTCACCAGCCTGCGAGCACGACGTCCCTGAAGTTCATGTCGTCGTAGGCGGCCTTGGTGCGGTGCACGGCAGCGTTGATCTCGTTCTCAAAAACCCGGTCCCAGAAGGTGGCGGGCGGCCCGTCGCGCATGCCCTGCGTCGCCGCCAGCACCTCCTCTGCTTTGTGAGTGTGTACAGAGGTGGGGGGTGGGGGGGGAAATGGGTTTGGCTTTCACCTTGGCGCCGCACGACCTCCTGGCCTCTCTGATGTGCACTGGAGAACGGACCTTTTCTCGCGATGCCCCTCTTGCAGGGCGATCCCGCCATTCCGTTTAGTAAACTGGTACCCCTCCCCACATGACACATTGGCCCCTCTTTCCAGCCACCCTCTGCCCCCAAAAGCAATCTCCAAAACACACACACCCACCACTCAGGGCACCTCACCTGCCCACTCCACCTGGCGGTAGAGCTTGAGGATGGCCTGGTTGGCGGTGTCGTGCTCGAAGTTGGCGTCGTCCATGGTGTCGCCGGCGTTGGCGAGGCCGATGCGCATGGCGTCGGCGCCGTACTCCAGGATGGCCTGCTCCATGGTCTTGAAGTTGCCCGTGGACTTGCTCATCTTGGCGTTGTTCAGCTGCAGGTGGCCGTTGCAGCGGAAGGAGCGGGGCCACTTGTCGGGGCCCCACAGCGCAACGTGCGTGTACAGCGCAAAGGTCAGGTGGTTCTGTGCAGGAGGAGGGGGGGGGGGGTGCAGGGGGAGTTGAGCGTGTGTGGGGGAGGGGTCTGTGTGGGATGAGGAAAGCAGGGGCCAGATGGAGTGAAACAAATGAATTGCAGAGAGGAGGGGCACGCCAAGTTCTTTCAGCGATTGTCTGCCTCATCACAGCCCTGGCAGCATAGCCTGCACATCTCAGCCCACCCCCCTCAGTGTTCGCCAGG